CTTTAATTACATATATATGTAGATAGATATAGATGTTACTACAGGGAACATACTTTTTCATTGTATCTTTAAAACATTTACAGGAAAAAGTCACATTATAAGAATTATAGGAAATCTCACTGGACACAGTGCTTCATGCCTGTAATCTCAGCTACTTGGGAGGCTGAGGCAGGAGGATCATTTGAGCCCAAGAAGTCAGGGCTGCAGTGAGCCGTGATGATAGGCTACAGTGAGCCATGATGACACCATTGCACTCTGGGGTGGGCAATAGATTGAAACCCTATCTAAAACACACACACACACACACACACACACCACCACCACCACCAACAAAAAGAATATCTCAATATATTTCCCAAGTAAAAAGTTATAGAGATTACTTTATCAAACCCCAGTGCAAAATACTTGGAACTGAATAACTAAAGTATAATTCTAAATGCTATTTAAAAATTTTAAATATTCTAAATAATTCTTGAGTCAAAGTGGAAGTCAAAATAAAAATTATAGAGTAACTTAAAAATGAGAACTTTATGTCTCAAAGCATGGCATATTGTTAAAGATTAACTCAGAGAACAAAATTATATAGTTTCATAATTTACTTTTTAACTTAACAAATATTTATTGAGGAACTAATTGCTCTATGAATTTTTCTAGGCTCTAGAGGTATAGCCCAAGATATATGTAACTTCCCTCATAGAGTTACATGCCAGAGGAAGGACACCGGCAAAAAGAAAAACCAATGTATTTGTATATAATATTTTAGAAGTAATAAGTTCTATGAATAACAATAAATCTTGATACAGGGGGTAGACAGTGAATAGAGAAGAAATGCTGTTTTGTATAGGGTGGTCAGAAAAGCCTTCTTTGAGAAACTGAAGTTTTGGTAGAGTTCTGAAGGAAATGAGGGATTCAGTTATGAAGATATTTAGGAAACAATGTTCCAGGCCCAGAAAATACTAAGTGCAAAGACTTTCAGGAAGCTGGAATTAGAGCAAGCAATGGGTTAGCTGACAAGAAGAGAGGGCAAATAAATGATGGTGAAGTCAGATCCGGAAGTGCTTCTTAGATTATCATAAGAAACTTTTACTCAGTGGAATGGGGAAGGTTTGAAAGGTTTTGAGCAGAGAATAGAAACGATATGACTTATGATATAAAAGAATCACTCCAGAGTAGTTCATATAGCAAAAAGTGTAAAAACAGGGGGATCAGTTGAGAGCTTACTCTAATAATACAGGTAAGACATGATGAAGACTTGGATCAGGATGGCATCAGATCTCATGAGAACTCACTGTCACAAGAACAGCATGGAGGTAACTGCCCCCATAATTCAATTACCTCCTACCAGGTCCCTCCCACAATGTGTGGGGATTACGGGATTACAATTCAAGATGAGATTCGGGTAGGGACACAGCCATACCATATTATTCCATCCCTGGCCCCTCCCAAATCTCATGTCCTCACATTTCAAAACCCAATTGTGCCTTTCCAACAGTTCCCCAAAGTCTTAGCTTATTATACCATTATGGGATTACAATTCAAGATGAGATTTGGGTGGGGACACAAAGCCAAACCATATCAGCAGCTAAACAAAATTTTGAACAATAATTGGGTAAAGAGTGTGGAAGAAATTAGTAAACTGGAAACCAGAAATAAAGTGAAGTTAAATAAATAAATAAACTTTGGGAAGTTCAATAAAATAAAAATTGTTTAAGTGAATAAAGAAAAAGAAAAGAGAATACTATTACACTACTTCCAGAATGAAAAAGAGGCTATAACCTCAAATATGAAGATGTAAAATTTGTTTATTGCCAACAGGTCCTTTGAGGGGAAGTTAGGATTAGATAAGGGTCCTTATGGGGAGGAAAGGCAGGATGGGTAAAGGCAAACCTGCATGAAGGAGGATGCATGGATAACCTCTTAGGCTGGAGACCAGGGCACCCTCTGAAAATAAATATCAGTTGTTCTCTTTGACATGCACAGGGATCTAATTCCAAAACATCTAGTATGGTAGAAGGTAATAAGTGGTAAGGATAAAAATACTAAGCAGATTTGGGAGGCCAAGGTGGGTGGATCATGAGGTCAAGAGATTGAGACCATCCTGGTCAACATGGTGAAATTCTGTTTCTACTAAAAATACAAAAAATTAGCTGGGCACGGTGGCGCATGTCTGTAATCCCAGCTACTTGGGAGGCTGAGGCAGGAGAATTGCCTGAACCCAGGAGGCGGAGGTTGCAGTGAGCCGAGATCGCGCCATTGCACTCCAGCCTGGGTAACAAGAGCGAAACTCCATCTCAAAAAAAAAAAAAAAAATACTAAGCAGAGAAGAGGGCTAGGGTGTGTCGTTAGCTGGGGTGAGGTACAGTTTTAGAAAGAATGGTCAGGACAGGTGACATGTGAGAAATAATTGGAGGAGATGAGGGCAGTGGATGAAGAGTGTTCTTCACAGAGTATGAGTGGTGGTTGAATGATGGGAGATAGAAGTTGAGGAATAGTAAGAGGGGAGCTGTGCATGGTGGCTCATGCCTGTAATCCCAGCACTTTGGGAGGCTGATATGGGCGGAGCATGAAGTCAAGAGATTGGCCAACATGGTGAAACCTCGTCTCTTCGAAAAATACAAAAATTAGCTGGGCATGGTGGTGCATGCCTGGTGACAGAGCGAGACTCCATCTCAAAAATAAAAATATAAATAAATAAGTAAGAGGGCTAGCGTGTAGGAGAGTAAGAGATGAGGCCAGGCAGGTAATGGGAGTAGTGATGAGAGGAAAGAAAGGGAGATCACCTTGAATGGCATTGATGACCTTTCTAGGTTGGCCAGTCTGTGATCACTATTTAGGGTCTGAGCCATTGTTTCTAAAGGAGGTTAAGGAGTGGGCGAAGGGGTCCTTATGGGGAGAAAAGTCAGGGATGGGTAAAGGCAAACATGCATGAAAGAGGAGTGCATGGGTAACCTCTGAGGCTGGAGACCAGGGCACTCTCTGAAAATAAATATCAAGTGTTCTCTTTGACATGCACAGAACTCCAATTCCAGTAGGGATGCTTCACTTGAAACTGAGGGTACAAGACACTAGGGGTCCATCACAGGCATGTTTTCTTTGTGCCAAGTGAGTCAGCTTGGTCAACAAAGTGCTCACAGGCCCCTGAAGCTCTACCTGGGAAAAACAGCACAAACAGCAGCAGAGAGTCCATTGAAAATACATTTTTAATTTTGATAGAGTTTACAAATGTCAGCATTGACATTTCTTTAAACAAATAGTTTCGTCAAGGTACAGCATTATGTCCCCAGATGCCCAAAAGGAAGTGATTTCATGTCCTCCTGAGGTTTAGCAGAGCCACCAGTGTCAACAGGATGGCTGACAGGGCCTAGATAGGCCAAATAAGCCAATGAGACATGCTGTCAGATTTATGGTTTTACATAATCAACTATTTAAAAAGATGCACAATAGGTAACTGCATTGAGCTTGTTCTGCATTTAGCAATAGTTCCTTTCAAACTAAGAAGATAGTTTTCAGTATCAATAAGGATGCCAATATGTATGTCTTCCACGGAGGCTTTTCTACAAATTGTTTTTATTACACATTAAAAAGTTCAGCTTCATTGTAATCTAGGAGGAAGAAAATAACAGCTAGAATTTAGTTACTGGTTAATTGTCAGACTCAACATCTATTATCTCACTTACTGTTTATGGTAAGGCTTGGAGGTAGGTACTATTGTAGCCCTCAATTTACAGATGGAGAAACTAAGGCTAGGAGAGAGTCATGATCATATAGCTAGCAAAGGGCAAATACAGTTTTTTAACTCAAGTCTGTGCACTTAATTTGGAAGTACATGACATAGTAATGTATACTCTAAAATGATAGTGTCATTACCTTTCATATGCAAATGCTAGAATAATCACAATTATAATGGCAAAAAGTAGTGTTTTAAATAAACAGGATCTATCTTTCTTGGTCCGATGATCTCAGGGTTACAAGGGGAGACTGAAAAAAGAGAGAGATGAATCCAAATTCTAGCGTTTTAGCTATTGGAACTCAGTGTTCTTTTTCCAGACACTGGTGTGGGTACCTTCCCTTATGGATTTTTTAAACCACATGGTCTCAGGGAGGTTTAGAGTGTGAACTACACCCCTATAATAACCAGTCATTGATCTTCCCATCCCATAATACAAGGGCATTCACCTTCTTGAGTCATTTAGCTGCTCAGGCTTGAAGGTTCCTGCGGCGCCTGCCGAAGGCTTCAGAACCCACATTGGTGGGCACGAAGTTGTTCTTCACCATGCCCCCAGATCTGCTCAGCAAGCCTGCCAGCCGATGAGTAACACAGGTGGCAGTGTCACAGGTTCTCTTCTGGGCAGTGGTTCTGATTTACAGGATGAGAAATAAGAGAAGACCTGTGACCGAGAGGCTGGGAGAGGAGTCGGCCCCATGGGACCTTCATGGTAAAGTTGCTGTTCTGAAAGGCACTAATTAACTTTAAGTGTTTCTCCTAAATACAACTATCAGAGCAGAAAATCACAAGGCCATTAGGAAAAATGCCATGATCACTCCCCATAGATATTCCCAGGGGTGTCAGAAAACCAAAAGATGACTCTGGATTACTGGCTATGGAATATGGAGCAGTAACAGCCAATCTTTCCTGTATAAACTAACTAAAAATCAAAGCAGAGGCTTATGAGACTGGAGTGCATTATGGCCCCACACCCAGCCCTATTCACAAGGACTATAAAATTGATACCCCAGTCATGGGCACCAACTACCCCTTCTTAGGAAAATAAAAAATTCTTCAGTCTTACCTGGAAGAGGAGCCGAATGTGCAGCATCAAGTCCTAGAGGTGCTTACCTGCTCCCCAGGACTCCTGCTCTTGCTGCTTGAGCTTGGTTAGAGGAACCACCCACCATATCCTGTGTCCAGCTACCCCAGGGTTAAGGCTATTTCTAAGGACAGGTCTTAGACACTATAAAGCCTGGGACATACACCAGAGTAATGATTACCACAGCTCAGATCTTTTTGGAAAAATCATTTTATTCCTCAAATGATCAACACATTCAGAAGCAGGACAGAGGAGCTCTCATGAAATCTCTGGGGGACTCAAAGCAGCCCTCATTTTCTGATGTTTTCCTGGGTGATTCTCTTCCAGCCTGTGAGTCCTGCTTTCTTTCCTCCCATCTGAAGTTTGAGACATCCTCTACCTCAAGGAAAGCCACTAATACCAGCCAAAAGAGCCACCAGAGAGGAACCAAACCACATGCATCAAGTTATAGGAAGAAAGCGAGAAGGAAAATTAGAAAGGAGAGGGAGGAGTTTAGTTGGGATCCTGGGGCATGCCAACGTGAGGGTGATGGTCTCTCTCCAAGCTGTTGTACACATCCCTTTTCTTGCCAGGTGCTCCAGGCCCAACTGCAGTTTTGGGGAATGTGTGAAACTTGCTGAAGTTCTGCGAGTATGTGCTCAGCATGCAAGTACTCAGCTTACTGCACCGCTTAGATCTGGGGCTGCAGGGAAGAAAACATGCCAGACAGTACCACAAACCTGCCCCCATGGGGAGTCACTTAGAAGATTAGACCAGGCAGGGGACTCTGAGTAGGAGCAGGAGGGGCACGCAGGAGGGCAGCTTGCTTTTCCTTCATCAGGAGAGCTCATAGGTTCAGTGGGCCAGGGCAGTGCAGGGAAGGACTGGATGGGGAAGCATAATCTTTTCTGGCATTCTACATGCTGTTCAGTCCTTCATGCTTGACAGAGGGGTTCTCAGGGCAGATGCAGGGGCACACATGCCTCTGCCTGGGCAGTGCCTGGGGCTGATCTCTGCTCAGGCTCAAGGTGCACAGGGATGTGGATCTGGGGAAGGGTACTCTCCCTGGCGTCCTGACAACATGCACATTTCCACAGATACCACACATTTAAAGGCTCAAACCTACCTCAGACACTGCTCTACCTGTCCCCATCCCCTGCAAGGGCCTCACCTTCACCTTGCAAATGTAAAATGAAGGCTCCTTGTAGGTATGAAAGGATGTCATATGCAGATTAACAAGATGGATCCAAATTTCTAAAATCTCCTGAGATATACTATGTCTATACCTGACTTCACCCTCACCAGTCTTAACTCATCCCAATACTGGGAAGTCTCCCAGTGTTGCAAGAGCAAGTCCTACAGTGAGCAATTTCACACCTCCCCATTTCATTTCCTAAGAACTTTCAGAAATGGAGCTTTTTAATGTGTCTAACCACAGTTCCTCCAGCTGCACTGGGACCTCTATCTCCCTTGGAGCTTGAGAACAGCTGGGCCCAGGTCTCAGTGAACAACACAGCCTGTTGGATTTCTGGTCAGTGCTTTCTTTCCTGTCTCTTGGGATCTGCCTTCCTGGGTATGCTGGGGGAAGGGGAGGCCCTGTGCTGGGCACTTGGGGAGCCTCACCTGGAGCCCTTTGTCTCCTGCTCCTGCTGCAGCTCACTGGTCTTCAGCTGCACATAGTCCTGTAGTGCAGCCAGAAGGAGGCGCCCTTTCTCCTCACTGAGTGTGGCTAGGTCTGGGCTTCTCTCCAGGGCAGACCTGTGGAAGGGAAGCAAACAGTGCAGGCTGTGAGCCCCTGCCTGCACCTCCCCAGGATAAGCAGCCGGGCTTCCTGGTCTTTGCTTCTTCCCCTGAGGATGTGACCACTGGGAGTCCCCGGGAGAGGGCACGAGGCCAGTGTCCTCCCCAGGACCCAGGCACTGGAGTGGCCTCCAAGCAGTGGTGTGCTGGAGCTAGTTTGTATAGACTTGTCAAAGCTGATGGTTAAATTTTCAAGAATTTTGCAAAGCTGAGTGCAGCTATTATTAAAAATTAAATGCTAAAACTTACAGTTAGTGCTGAACTTGAAAACAGTTTTAGTTTAATAAATTTATATGCGGGTGAGAAATAGATCAACAGGTAAAATATCAGATTTAACAATAACAAATTTATTGGCAATAGTATGCAATTCATTTCTCAAATCTGGCTGAATATGGTAAATAGGATGGCTACACATCCAAAAGTTTGGAAAAAAGCAACAAAAGCATTTTGTGAGACTCAATGGGCTATATGAAATTTATAATAAAGAGTATTTTCTAAATATTGATTACTACTTATAAATTGTGTAACATACATTTTTATATCAGAAAAAATTATGTATGTGCGTGAATATATATATTACCCTGCCCCCCTGTTGGTTTTTAAGCATTCAGCATATCACACTTAAGAGGCACGGAATTGTCTGATTCCATTGTGCTTCTGGCTTCAGGCTGTCTTACCTGGATGGTGCTGCCTGGAGGCTGCCTGCCTGGAACAGCACCAAGATGCCGAGAGCCAAGAAGGGGGAGAACTTTTGGAAGCCCATGACACCTCTCTGCAAGGGAAGAATGAGGTAAACCACCTGCGCCAGTTCAAAATTCTAGGAGCCCACAGACCTTGGCTCCTATCCTGCTTTTCTATCTTGCCTCTAACACCCTGGCTTTGAGGCTTCAGACTGGTCATCATATTTCTTTTGTTTCCTCATCAGCACAGTGGACTTCTGGGAGGTTCAATGGGCCTGTAGCATGCACAGTTTGACGGAGCTGGAGGAGCAACCCTAGCGTGAGAGCTGAATGGGAGAGGTCTCAGTCTTACCCTTCTCCCCAAAGCGACACACGTGCATATAGACCTATTAGCCAGCTCTCTGTGGAGGACACACTCCCAAGCCCCTGTCACAGAAGCTGCTCTCATAAGGAAACCCAGAGCTGTCCTCTTGTGGGGCTTTTGCATACACCTGGGTGGGAGAGACCGGGGAGATCTGCGGAGAGGGATTATCTCTGCAATTGGAACCTGAGAAATAGAAGAATCCGTTTTAGTGCTCAGCCGCTCCGCCGCTCCGCCTGCTGGCACCTCAGTCCCCTGCAGTAACCAAATTTAACTTTTAAATTGGGACCTAAGACTTTCTCTCTTTGCTCCCAGGAGCCTGTTGCAGTTTAGGGCTGCTTGTCCCTCAGTCGTCGTGCGCTTTTGCCACCCGTTCGCGCTGTTTCAGGTTCTGAACGAATTTCCCTGGGACTGCTAGGCGCCAGACTCGATTCCTGAACGCACCGTCTGCGGAAAGTTACTCTTACGTCCTGCCCTGTGCACGGTCCCTGGGGAGCCTGAATGTCCCAAGACCGGCCCAAGCCTGTGTGCAGGGGGAGAGAATAAGGCTGGAGTCCGCAGCTGAGCAGGAAGAGCGAGCCCGGGGACTGAGACTGTCCGATCCCACCTAGGGCAGGAGCCTGGTAGAAATCGCAGACTAACAGAGACTGTCTGATGAAGAGACTAATGGAGAGAGAGAGAGAAAGGAGGAGAGGGAGAGAGAAATTGACTTATGGAGGGAGAGGGAGAGAGAGAGATACACACCTGAGCTAGAATCTCGGGGCTGACCTGGCGGGAGGTGGCTTGGATCGGAGGCAGTGGCGGCGGCGGCGGCGGCGTCCAGTCAGAGCCCTGTGGAAGCGGCGGCGACAGTTGGACTGAGCAGTGAGTGGCTCTGATGCCTCTCAGCGCCAGCGACCGTTCTTATTCCCATCGCTGTGGATCGGGAGGGTTCCGCCAGTACACAGCAACCAATGGGCGGAGGGGTCCTTTGCCCAAGTTGGGTTGCGTCACCCTCATGCTTCCAGAACCTGTCGGATCCAGCAGGACGATCCCACTTGTATTTGCATTGAGGTCATTGATGGAAGTGGGGGGTGGGGAGGACGGAAAGGGGATGGTGGGGAGGACGGAAAGGGGATGGTGGGGAATCAACGAGAAACGCCCTTAAAGTGAGCGGGAATTTGAGGGCAGTTTGACGTCATGGTGAATTTCATCTCTCTGTCGGGCTTGGTTTTGAACTCGCGCCCCACTCCACCCCTGGTTGTGTGATTTGGCGGGAAGGGTCCAGGATTGCAGGGACTCTCCCAACTCTGACCCCAGAACCCTGCCCAAGTGAGACTTGAAAGTTAATACCCCTAAGGGTGGAGTCTGGGCCCAACCAGGCTGACTCTAGTAGCTGGTATCACCCACAGAGGGCCAGGGCTCGTGGGAAACAAGAGATGGAGCTGAGACCAAGAAGTTTGTTAGACGGGAATTCAGTTCCAGTTGAGCCAATTCCGGATTGTGTGATCATGGGCAAGTAACTTCACATAGGCTTAATGTACTCATCTTTAAATGGGGACCATAGTCTCATCTTGAAGGAATGTTGTCAGAAATAGCCCAGTGCCTGGGCCCCAGCTAGGCAGGGATCTACAAGAGTTTCCTGGTCCGCTTAGGGGATTCCCTAAGATCTCCATGGATACTTCGCGAATCCCCATCTCTCCGGACTGTCAACTCACGGTGGGCTGTCCCGGGGTACTGTTTAGATCCATTACATGTGTGAGGAGGGGGCCAGTGACTAGCTGGGCCTGAGGGGTGAGTTGCAAGGGACAGGTGCATAAGTCTCCATCCAGACCTCTGGTCCTCCCCCTTCCTACCCTGCCATCCAACACCTGCCTGAGCCGTTTGTACAGCTGCCCCTTTGCTTCCGGCTGCCGTTTGCCAAGATGTCCCAGCGACATTCTATTCCGGCCCTGTACCCCTCGCCCCCACCCCACCCCACTTCAGTCCTCCACTAAGGAGCAGGCAGGCTTGACCATGCTGTGGGGTCCCTGCCTAAACCGAAGCGCACATAGTCACTTCCGCTCACACTCGTTTACACACACGCAAACGCATTACTGTCTACCAAGATGTGCCCATTCTGAATCACAGATACAAAAAAACAGATGATGGCGCACAAGAGTATCCTTAGGGGTTCATTTAGACGTGTTCCAAGCCTGCTTCCGAGTCTCTTGGGCAGTAGTATTCACACACCCGCACGACGATGACCTGCTTGGATCAAATCTACACACACTTTCACATCACACCCAATTACACGTGACCTCGACAACACTCACACCCCGCACAAACGGGTTTCGACCACTCCGCCTGAGCGTTCAGCTCCCGGCGCGCCCCGAGCGGCAGTGGTCTTGATTGTGGCACCTTCCCACAGCGTCCAGAGTGGCGAGAACGAAGCTTTTCAGCGTCCCCACGATCTCCCGGTGTGAGCGCGCAGCGCGCGATCTGCAGCAGCTGGTCCGGGCGCTGCCTGTGCGGTGAGAGCAGTAACGGCATCCCGGGGCTGTCGGGGGAGGCAAGGACCCTGGCTTGAGGTTCTTTGAAGCAGAGCAGAAATTAGCCCTTAAGTGTAGGGTGAGTGGCGCGAGTCACGGAACTCCAGGTACTCCCGGGTCGAGTCCGCACCCTCGTCCTCAGTCCCCAGAAGCTTCGACATTTCCTAGGACCACACCCCTGTCTCGCGGTACATCTCTCCTTCGGGGGTTGATGGTCTCGGTGGTCAAGGAGGTAGCGGCAACGCCTAACTTCCAAGATGCCCTTAATTGAATCTCTTCCTTCTTAACTACTGCGAGGGAATAACACCTGGGGCTGGAGACGGCGTGTCTGAGACTCGCTCTCCTCAGGCCCCGCTGGCAGGGCGGCCGGAGGACCCGGGACTGGAACTGGGGCTCACCGGCGCGCGTCAGGCGCAAAGCGCGGAAAGGCGAGCTGCGCGCGGAGCAGGGCCCGGGACTGCGGATCTTGGGTACTGTGAGCCCTGGATTCTGAAGGAAGACAGCTAGCTACTGCTAAGACCCAGTCCGGAGCCTTGGAGCTTTTCAGCAGTTTGGGCTCCGAGCCCTGGCCTGGGTTTTCGGTGCAGAGCTCTGCGAAGAGTTGCGAAGGCCGCAGTGCGAGCACTAAGTGGGGTGTAGTGCTTGGGCCGCTGTCACCCGGCCTGTAACAGGAGAGTGTTTGCGCTCAGCTACCACATACTTCAGCGGAAATGACTTTTTCCAAGACTAGAGGTTTCTAACCTAAAGGGAGGGCAACATCACATACTGGGGTCTGTTGGGGGATAGGGGATAGGGGAGCGATAGCAGGGGGTGGGGAGGTTGGGGAGGGATAACATTAGGAGAAATACCTAATGTAGGTGAGGGGGGGGTGGGTGTGGGTAGCGGATGGAGACAGCACACCATCATGGCATGTGTATACCTATGTAACAATCCTGCAAGATCTGCACATGTACACCAGAACTCAAAGTGTGTGTCCTCTTGAAACCGTTTGTAAGTGTGTGTGTCTATGATGTGTTTTCCTAAAGAGGGAGCTCATAGCTTTCGCCCTTGCCACAGTGACCCCAAAATGGAAGACTGTAGTCAGATTTTGTGGTCATGTCACTTTGCGGGATCGCAATTCTTCTCCTGACTGTCGCGTGTGTGCCTTCAGCTCTCAGAATAGACACGCACTCCCCACTATCAAATCTTTGGCAGTTATAAATCAAAGAAAGGCTGGTGCCGTGGGGGCTAACCAGAGCCTGCGTCCAGAAGGCGCTAGTGTACCCCTGAGCAGTTTGAAGGCTGAAAGGCCCTCTCTTTAGGACCGGAGGGATTGTCATTAATTCACCTCTCAAGCACTCCTTGAGTTTGTAGGCAGTGTGTGGCGACTTGCTGGGGGCAGAAAGTTTTTTTTTTTTTTAGTTTTGTTTTAAAGTGATTTTCTCCAGCAATTAGCACCATGCCAGGCATCCTAGTAGATGCTCCGCCAAAGTTAAATGAATGAAAATTTATTCTTGCAAATTCACCAGTTTCACAAGGTAGCTTGCAGAAAATTTGGACCTAGTCAAAGCCGCATTTTGCTTTGTTTTCTGAAATCCGCAAACTGTTCAGCCAGAGTCCTCCCATTTTATTTGGCACAGCAAATCGGTTCCCAGGTAGAATTTTCCAGAGATGAGGCAGGGAAGTAAGGATTTCGTCTGGGATTCTCTCTAAACACTGGGATCTCCTGGTGCAAAATGTGAAGCCATTCTCTGAGCCCATCCCTGATTTACTGAGGGAGCCGAAGGAAGCTTAGAGCTTCCCCTGAGTAGATCACTTAGATTTGGTCCCTCTATTTCTGGAACTTCTCTGAGTTTCAGTACTAAACAGAGCATGGTCTAACGAAAGTCTCTAAGAAAAATACTGATTTTAAAATAGTCAGTTGACTATTTGACTATTGATTTTACTGTCTTATTTCCTAACTTTAAAATCTGGAAATTAGGGTCAGTTTTGAAGCAATCTAAGTTTGGAAAAAAATATTTTTACAACACTCTGATAATATCTAACTTAATGTTTGTTCCCATTCGTTTAGATCACATTCCTGTACTTTTTGCTTTAGAAATAACAACAAAGATGAAGTCTGGTTGAAAATTCTTATGTGAATTTCCATGTGATAAAAAAGTCATACCTAAAGGCTTGAGTTCAGAGCTCAAGTTGAATTTATTGCTGCTATACAAAGAACAGGTTTCCTTTATAATATAGATGCGACCACAAAATCACAGCAGTAGCAACAGCACCACCAGTAACAGTAACACAACAGCCCACAACACACACATTTTCTTCAGCCTGGCAGAAATGTGGAGCTAACAGACTAACTAGAAAATCCCAACTGAAAATCCATAGTACTGTTTAAAGAAGGGCAGAAATTAAAGTTTTCCATCATCATGTTTACTGGAGAACATGCCAAGAAAAGTAGTTGCTTCTGATCATTTTCCTAAGACACTTTTAGAGTGCAGTAAAGCTGCTTCTAGGGGAGGGAGTACAGAAATGACCGCCAAAGAGACAGAAAGATTCACAATAACCAAGATACAGAAACAGCCTGTGTCCACTGATGAATGAATATTTTTTTAATGGTCAGAAAAGTTCCTTCTTTATTTTTTATTGAGATATAACTCACAGCAGTGTGCACACAATTTAAATGAACAGCTTGATGAACTCTTATACGTATAAGTACACATTAACACTACCCACATCAAGATTTAAAACATTTCTAGCACCCAATTGTTCCTTTTTGCCCCTCCGAGTTGATAACCCTCTCCCGCAAGGGTAACCACATTCTTTTTTTAAAAAAAGTTATTGTTGATTTAATTTCTTTTTTTAAAAAAATGTATATTTTATTGCACTTTAGGTTCTGGGGTACATGTGCAGAACATGCAGGATTGCTGCATAGGTACCTACATGGCAATGTGGTTTGCTGCCTCCATCCCCCCCCCCGTCATCTATATCTGCCATTTCTCCCCATGTTATCCATCCCCAAGCTCCCTACCCACCACTTTCCCTCCCCTATTCACCTCCAACAGACCCCAGTGTGTGATGCTCCCCTCCCTGTGTCCATGTGTTCTTATTGTTCAACATCCACCTGTGAATAAGAACATGCAGTGTTTGATTTTCTGTTCTTGTGTCAGTTTGCTGAGAATGATGATTTCCATATTCATCCATGTCCCTAGAAAGGACACAAGCGATGAATGAATTTTTAAAGAAATTGTGGTGTATGTTTATTACACACTCACAATGGAATATTATTCCATTCAGCAATATTATTCAGAAGAAGGAAATGTAATTTGTGTCAACATAGCTGAACTTGGGGGATATTATGCCACATGAAATCAGCCAGGTACAGAAAGACACATAATACATGATCTCACTTTATGTGGAATCTCAAAAAACAAGTCGAACTCAGTAACAAAGGGTAAAATGGTGATTATTTGGGGCTGGGGTTGGGGGTAAAGGAGAAATACTAGTCAAAGGATACAAACTTTCAGTTATAAGATGAGTAGGTCCTGGAGACCTAACATACAGCACGGTGACTACAATTAACATATGATTGAAATTTGCTAAGAGAGTAGATCTCAAGAGCTCTAAGCATGCACACACACACACACACACTCACACACACAAAGGAAACTGTGAGGTAATGATACGTTCATTAACTTGATTGTTGGCAATCATTTCGCAAAGTATACATGTATCCAGATATCACATTGAATACCTTAAAAAATAAAAACCTTTAATATGGAAATGAAAGTGAACAACAACAACAAAAAAAGAGAGTGAGAGACAGCTGAAATTCCCCAGTGGGAATTTTGCTGTGGACTTTAGAACAGGTGCATTTGTATAAACATTTGAGAGGATATCAATGTTTTATTAATAACCTAGATATAGAATTATCTAAAAGATGTTGCATGTGCAGTAAGTATGACAAGTCATATAAAACCATATTAAATTGAAACAAAGCAAAAATATTGTAAATGTTAAAACTACCATCAACTAAGTTCCATCCATGTGTCAGACACTGTGCATATATCATCTTTCTTACTCTCAAAAGTTTAATAAGATAGATATTTTATCTTTGTTGTATATGCAAGGGAATAGCAAGAGTATTTGGCTTTAGTTAATTATATTTTCCAGGCTCCTTTTGAGGACCTGAAATACCAGAACATGGTTTATCTGTCTGCATATCAGGTAAAAAATTTGGTCCCCTGGATCCAGGCACTGACTCAGAGGAAGAGATGGACACGTCTGCCTGCTTCAGGGCTAATGTGATTTGTAGTGAGAGACTCAATGAGCTGGCATAAATCATTTACAATTCCGGGACCAATATTTGGGAACATTGACATTTTTGCAACAGGAAAATAAATGTTGGTGGCATCACTTAAGTAAATTGCTAAAGAATAAAATCCAAATCAGATTTATAACAATATTCATAAGATAAAATTTTAAAACACTTGAGTTCAAACAAACAAAAATCCAAATGACTTAACTTCCTATATTTAGCATCATGCATTACTTCATCTTGTCTGAAATTGTGGTTGATTTTATAGAGTGTTCTATTTTGTCCATGGAAGTTGGGGGTGAGATGAGAAGGGAAGGGAGTTAGTGGAAAGAGTGCTTGGAGTCAGGAGTTAGGGTTCTAATTCTCACCCCTAACCCAAAGGGTATGGCTTTGAGAAAATCATTTGGGCCTCTGTTTCCACATCTGATATATAAACTTTTATGGGATTAAGGGATTCCGAAATTTCATTTTAATTCTGACATTCTATAAATATGCTGTTTTTATAGTACTTTTCAATGACACCAGGTCACCTGCTACTTGGCTTCTTCCGCTTGCCCTGGCAGGTACCATTGTCTTCTAATAATATGTAAGAGGAGTTCAACATGAAGGAGAAAAGATATGTCATTCTTTGGAGTGACACACTTCTTTGGAGGTACTGTTCCCCTACCTAAATATGAGGGATAAGTGATTT